CCTTTTTTGTCAATGTTAATTGCAGTCCACGTGTTTGGTAATAATACTAGGTGGTCATTACTTCGTAATGGTTTTCCGGTTCCTAGTGTAGGTATTATATGTTTTCTATATTCGTTTGGTATGTATACTAATTCTTCGTGAATCTTTAGTTTCATTCCCTTTTTCATTTCTATTGGTTTTGTCTCTAATACATTAATTTTTTTATCCTCTTTTCCATATCCGTAATCCAGTGTTTTTCCTTTATGGCCTGGTGTTCCAGGTCTATTTGTTATTGGTCTTAGGTATAGTGAGTCTGATTCTTGATTTATTCCTATTTCTATAGGGTCTCTGTTATATTCCGTTATTATCGATGGTCCTTCATTTCTGTTATTTTGTTGTTCTTGTTGTAATTTAAGGTATTCATTTCTAAGATTGTTTTTGTCCTCTTCTAATTTCTGTCTATAGTCTTTCATTGTCATTTGTTTTCTTTTTTCAAATGAGTCTTTTCTTGTTCTTTCAAATTGGTTTGCTGGTTGGTTTATTTGAGCTGTAGCTTGGTCTTTTATTACATTTTTAGCTATGTTTCTACTGTTTTCTTTTCTGAAGTACGATGGGTTATAAAGTCTAGAGTATTCTTTATGAATGATGGCGATTTAGTTTGTTCGGTTTGTTTTGTTTGTTCAAGTTGTTCTTGAGTTGTACTAATATCGCTTTTTGCTTTTAAGTATCCATCATCCCCTACTTCATATTCAGTATTTTCTTGATTCAGTATTATTTCTTGTATATCTGGTTCTAATGGTGGTATACTGGGTATACTATCTGTATCTTTGAATGTTGAGTCATCTTCCCTTTGGAACAATCCTTTGGATATGTTCCTTATGATTTCTTCATCGTCTCTAGTCAGATCACTATTGTGTGTCGAACTACTTTTGTATGATAAGTCACTTGTTGATTCATTATTTGTTTTCTTCCTGTAATTATTAAAATCTTGTTCAGTGAACAATACTTGGTCATTTTCCGGTTCAGGATTATAGTTTGAATATTTTATTTGATATTCATTTCGTGGTTCAAATCTATTTTGTCCTGGTGCCTGAGATGTTGATCCAGGTTTATTCCAGTGTTCTAGTTTACTTCCAAAGTTATTCAAGTCTCTCTGGTAACCTTTGTCTTCTAGTAGGCTTTCTGAGTCACTTTCCTTGTCTATTGTTTCGTATATTTCTTCTATTTTTTGTTTCTTTTCTTCTTCCAGTTGTTTCCGTCTTTCTGATTCTTTTTTTATTTGTTTTAATAATTCTTCATCATTGTTAATTTGTCTTGCTGGTTCTGTATTTTCAATGTCTATCATTGCAAAATCTAAGTATTTTCGATTTGCTTCTTCCCTAAT